CCAAGACTTGACTTCTCACTCCTCACATTCAATCAGACTGTTCCCAAGAAAGGAGAACCCTGTTTATAACAGTACCTGCCATTTTCAGCCATAAAAATGTTACAGAAAAATGTCATGACCGATGCCATGATTGTTGATTTTAGGGAGCCAAGAGATCAAACGAGCATGAGGTTGCATTTCTGCATCTCAAATCTTGCCACAGGCCACCCACAAGAATGTGCGTGTGGTGTTAATTTTGTACCCAGACAGACAGGCTGAAAAAATCCAGATAATCTGCAGAACTTTGATTCAGGCCCCACTATTTTCTCAACAACTTCCCCCATGTTAGAGACAGGTTGAATGATTGCTGGGTTAGAATAATGGTTTCTTAAGAAGGGCCATATAATTATTTATTTTAACTACATAGCTGAAGTTTTCGTAGAATTTGAATAATGCTGGACAACTGTAATTAGTTAAGTGTCCTTTTTTTATAAGCTAGGTTTCTGAAGTCTCCTTTTTTTGGCAGCATCCGATCTTCTAATAACAGCCAAGTGAACAAGTTGACGTTATCTGTCAGTGACAGTGTCATTCTGGATGATGCACCAAATACAGTTGATGGAGAAGATGGAGAAGTCCGCCGGGTTTCGGACAATGAAAAGGATGCTGTCCAGTATAGCTATAGCTTCTTCCACTTCATGCTAACTCTCGCTTCCCTCTACATAATGATGACTCTTACTAATTGGTACAGGTGAGTATATTTTGGACAGCAACTTTAACCAAAAATCTTACTGCTGTAGATTATTAACTCAATATGGAATTGTTTAAATATTAAGAACATCTTTTTAAAATTAGAGATTTAATGTTAATTTTAATTTTTGCTAAAGTTAGGATTCATCTTGTGACACTGAATAGGATTTTCTCTCTATATATGCTGGGAAAGATGTAAATATTATTTCTGAATAATTCTTCTGTAATTAACCCCAAATATCTAGCAAGCATACCAAAAAGCTGTATAATTGAGTTGAATTAGACTTTCTACCAGTTGATTGAGACATATACAATTTTTATTAATTTTACAGTCCTGATGCTGAAACTAAAACACTGACAAGCAAATGGCCAGCTGTCTGGGTGAAGATCTCCTCAAGCTGGGTTTGTCTTCTTATTTATGTCTGGACTTTAGTGGCTCCCCTGATCCTTACCAATCGAGACTTCAATTAAATGGTAACTTCTGTAAAAGCATGGAGATAGGACGTTCTGCTCTGCTGAAAGCCAAAAGTTATGTATTGCTTCGTGGACCTAAGTCTCCAGGCATCATTCCTATAACACGCAGACAAATAAGAAGTCTAACTTGTGTAATGCTTAATGCAGAATCTAAGTGCTGTATATATTGATGTGTTAAATTCAAAGCTAGCATTCCTGTTATCTACTACAGCTGTGCTGTTGAAGGATTTCACAAAATGTTTGTGTAAACACACACTACTAGAAATATGAACGGAAAGTAATATATTCTAAAGTTGTTCTGATATTTCACTGTATCGAAATAAGTACCCTTGCTGCATTGCTTTACATTCCATTTCAGAAAAAAATGAATCCGATGGAGCTTTGAATAATGGATAAAGTGTTTTTCTTAACAGAACAGCATGCTAATGTAATATACTAAGCCTATAATTGGCAACTTTTGGGATCATTGTAGAAAACAAATTTTGTAAGAAATTTTGTTAAGCATACTGCTAAACTTTTAATGTTTTACTTTAAACACATTCAAGTCCTGCTTTTTGAAACAAGCAAATTAACAAGCAAATGCTTGTTAAAACTAGTATATCATTCCACTCAATTTGACATTATTTGCACTATAAATATGTTTGATCAAAACAAAATTTTTAGTGTCATTTTTGTTGCCTGGTTGTTTCAGCAGGTCTGCATATGATTATCATTTAGCTCAAGCAGTGAAGTTGGTCTATGTCTAAAAGCAAATCATCATACAACTTGTGATGTTAGGCAAAGAACCTCCATGTGGGGCTCTTGATTCATATGTTCACATTCTAGTATAAAAGTTTAGTTGGCATAAGCACTTAAAGTACCTGCTTATTTTTTAGCCTGTGATGGTACATAGTCTATACATTGCAGAGAGAGACAACTCTGCTCAACGGATTCCCTGCTCTTAGTTGAAGTCCCCTATGCTGGTGCCCATCATTCTGAGAACTTCAACGTGCAGGAAAGCAAGAGGCAGCTTGAAAAACAAGTAGCTCTTCACAAATTGCATTTTTCATTTCAGATCTAATTCAGTTGCATGCTTTTTTTCTTTACCATCTTGTAAAGGTACACTAGATTAGACTTTAATAGATCTGGACAGTCCCTTCAATGACATCAAACATTCATTGAAACAGCATGTTTATATATTAATATTTTAATATTAATAAGATTTAATATCCACTCATGCAGACAGACTGTTTTATAAAGTGCAGTATAAAAATAAATTCTCAAGGTATATACTCTAATTCTGTACAGAGAATAAAACAGACCCATGAACAAAACTGCAAAACTTAGCCATAGAAAACAAAGCACCTCAATTACCCTCTGGAAAAATTATTACCATTTTTCTACGTCGGATACAGATTAACAAAGGCAATTTGACATTTGTAACAAATTGCCAATGTCTTTTACTTAAGGCTTAGTATTCTTCCATCACATCTGCTTGGATTTTGTTTATAGAAGAACTAATATTAACAAAAAGATCCTTATGACCAAGATGCCAGACAATATGCATATTAACTAATTTCGTATGCTTAACTATAGGCACAACATCAATGTCTTAGTTCTGTCAGCACTGTTTTTAAAACCAATTCTACAGATAAACAAGATAAAAGCATGGAAGGCAATTTAGACTACGCTTAGAGGTAAATAATAGCCACAAATTTTACAGAATCTACTATTCCAATATATCTGGGCAAAGAGATGTGTTATACCAATAAAATTAGTCCAGGGAGGCAAACACTGAATTGGTATTTGGTTATTATTTAAATAAGAGCTCTTTGTTACAAAAAACATTAGGAAAAAAACAACCATAGCATTTTAACGTTTTATATCATCATCATCATCATTCATTGTCATTTGAGACAGGCTACTTATTTAAGGGAGAAAAAATAGACTGGGTAAAGTATTTTAGAATAGTGTCCTAGAAATTATAAGCTTCCATGCCTATAACTTTTTCCTAACATGTTACAAATTTATAAAACATTTTGTGATTCAAACTAGTTCCTTTATGTTTCAATTTCAGCTGCCAAAGCCTGGCAGCTTTGATTTTTCTGCATAAAGATCACTTCCAATAAGGAAAAGAACATCCATTTTAACATATACTTCTCGTATCTAAATTTGACCAGCATTTTCCTACAAGAATACATAAGGAGAAAAGTACATCTTGTGCCTTCTATATCTAAACTACTTTTCCTATGTGTCTGTAGGGAAAACACCCCCACCAATGTGGAAATAAATCTAGCAAGTCAAGAGAGATGGGTAGCAGCGTAGAAACCAGTTTCACATTTGTTTAGATAACTATAATACCATACTGGGTTTGTATATTTAGAACTCTAATTGAAGCACAGTCACATGACTAAACTGCTTCACTTTTTGGCAATAAGAGAAGCAAATCCCTAATTTAGAAAAACTAAAATACCTTTTGGCACTGGCAATAACATGATCAATCTACAGAAAACGTAATTTTTACAGTAAGCACCAACTTTCTGGTCTTACTTGGCACTAGGCAAGAGCCTTCATTTTAGTTCCAACAATTTAAAAAGTGCTATGAGTTGCTACCTTATGAGCAGCAGTGAGTACAAAGTTCCAGCCTGTTACAGTTCCAGCCTTGCATGCGAAGAATGGGTTCAAAGGACCTGCAACTTTGTGTAATTCAGAGAAAAAACCTGCTATCTTCTGAAAGATGGCCCACCACTAGAGAAGATCTAAAACTACATCAGGGTTTTAGATCCTTTCCTATACAGTATATTTTAGCCTAAAGGCGAGACTACTGGCCTTAGGAAATGAAGCCAATATCAAAAACAGCACTGAGGTCCCACTGACAAAATAACATAGTGAATGAGGAGAAACTACCATCATTTACAAATGGAATATTGTGCTTGTAAAATGTCCTGTTTGGTTTGCAGAGAACATTTCAAATCTTCTCTGTCCCAAAAATAAAGACAAACAAGTTTACCTCTTTTCTTATTAGGCAAAACTTTACAGCTATCATGTCTGTGTTTTTCCCCAACCTCTTCATGAGGCAGGTACCAATCAACAGTGCTATAGTGGTATGCAAAATTATGTGCCTTCTCAGTTGGTCCTGTCTTATGCAAGTTCAAGTATGGGAATAAAATTGGCTCATAGATTGATGCTTTCTTTATAACAGAAAAAAAATGAGCATGTGCTTTCAAAGGAACATCAATAGCTAACTATTTTTGCAAGAATCATTTTCATAGTGTGACACTCCCTGTAGTATACAAAGCTGCATTTTTGTAAATAATGCTGAACTTTATAGATGGCAACAGAATAAGAACTGGCTCTCTCTTATATTACTTTATGGCAGATAAAATTTCTAGTCAATTATCCTTTTATCATATAGCTCACATTTCTTTCTTCCTCTGCAGAATTAGCATTATATTACCACATTTCTTAATTTGTACATCATTTTTGTCCCCTTCAGCCTGAGAAAGAATATAGTGCTTTGCACCTAAACCTGCTCATTTGGAAGCAAGTCCCACAAATTTTACCACAACTTCCTTCCAAGTAATTGTGCTTAGGATCTTGTTATCAAGTAGCGTTTCTTTAGCTGTGTTCATTTGTGGCATCTGAGTTGCTTTGGGTCAGTTACCACAATAACTTCCTGGTTGCTCAAAAAAAAAATTTTCCATTTGCCAGTGGGCCACAGAACCTCACTTTCTTACAACTCTCTTCCACTTAGATTTGCTTTGGTTCCAAAGTAAAGTAACATCCATCAACACTCATATTTGGTTCCAAAGGAAAGTAACATCCATCAACACTCATATGTTGTAGAAGCATGAGAGAATTAATATTCCCTTTGTAAACAGCAAGGTGACCTTTTGGAAGCTTTATCTACTATACTAATAGCAGGAATAGAGCTGTGTTTTGAAGCTTCGCAAAGAGTCATCATGCTGCTTCTCATCAATCTCTTCATTCATTAATGGATCATGTGGTGAACAGTCACTGGAGAGGGGCAAATGTGAGACATCATACTTGAAGTCATCCTCCGACGCCAGCAGTAGCTCATTCCAGGTAGAGATATCAAGTTTTCCTGCCGTGCCACCATATTCTTCAGGGAGAATTTGTGGTGGAAGGTTGTGTTGAAGAGACCGCAGGTCTGACCCATGAAGGAAAAACTGAGAAGAAAAGAACCATTTCAACACTGTTCCAATTCAAATTAAATGTATAGTATTTTAGAAAAAAATGATACAATTTCCCTTTTAAGCTTAGACAATGGTTCATGGTATTTCTCCATACTACAAGTCTAATTGGCAGCAGCATTTGAGACTAGATGATATTCTTGAGAATCACAGGATATAAGTGAAAGTTTCACAATCTTTATTAACTTTTAAAGATTCTTTTTCTTTAAACTGTCTCAAACAGTTTTAAGTCCTGTTGGATAAACTTCATTTGGACAAATCACTGAACTCCACAAATAACCAAGATCACTACTGTTTGGATGAAAAGGAAAACAGTTCAGATTTGTATTACTCTCTACAGCAAGAGGCTCTACAGAAGACCATTTCCAAAAATTGATGCAGCTTAATATTCACATGTATTATCTCCTTTTTAGAATGTTTGTATCTCCTGATTCTTGCTTAGTATACAATGGTGTATGGATTACCTAATGGAGCATTTTTAATACTGATTTTCCTTTGTTCTTTGTAAACTGCCTTGAGGCCTTCAGAAATGGAGGGTGCACAAACTTGTGTAATAAATACATGACTACACAGCAGTTATATATAGAAAAAAATGAGACTTCTATTTCATCGATGATTACATAAGCTTCAAAGTTGTGTCTAATACAAATAACAGTAATAAATAAACTAACTCAGTTTTTAACAGGAATATACTGCTTTTAGTGCCTAATTGCTTTCCCAGGAAGACTTATTAGTCTCCACTTCACTATACAGTATAAATGATACTTACAGAAATCTATTAAAAGAGAAAAAATAATAGATCTTTTCTGACTGCCATGGAGAATTATATTGGGTTTATTTACAAACTCCCAAGTAAACAAATATCCAATTTAAATCCAATATGGACTTATTGATTAGCTGCAGTTAAGGTTGAAGTTAAGACCTGCATAAAATAAATCAGACTTTTTTTCCAGATGATGTTTAAACATGTATTTTACTAATTCAAAATAAATATTTTGAATTTGTATTAAATTCACTTTGCAGACAGACTGCAGCTTTCCAAAAGCAGCTACCTTGCTGGATCAGACTTGCCTCTTTAAGTCCAATTTTCTCTTCCCTCCAGGGACAAGCTAATGGGTGTGGAAAGCCCATAAGCCATGCATATATCCTAGAGCAGGGGTCCCCAACCGCCGGTCCGCGGAACAAGTCTTACCGGGCCGCTGGTTGCCGCCATCTTTTTTTGGTAAAAAAGTGCTTCCGGTGAGCTTTTCCGGGTAGAAAGCTCACCGGAAGCACTTTTTCATCAAAAAAAGATGGCGGCGCCAGCACTTCCGGTGAGCTTTTCCGGGTAGAAAGCCATTTCTACCCGAAAAAGCTCACCGGAAGCGCTGGCGCCATCTTTTTTGACGAAAAAGTGCTTCCGGTGAGGTCACCGGAAGCACTTTTTCGTCAAAAAAAGATGGCGGCGCCCAGTTGATGCCGGTACCGGGCCGCGGCGCCCAGCTGATGCCGGTACCGGGCCGCGGCGTCAAAAAGGTTGGGGATCAGTCCTAGAGCCCTCCCTAATATCCCTATAGACACTATATATTTCACACAACTATATTGAGTACTTACCCGATTTGCTATTTTTTCCTTTAGAAATGGTTTGAGAATAGCAAAAATGCCTTTGAATATGCGAGGTTCATTTATGATATTGACAGCTTTTATTCTAATTGGAAAGCCATCCTAAAAGAAAGAAATGCAATAACATTTATAACGATTCGTGTTTAGAAATAACTGCATGAGTTTTCAAAACAAACTCATTCAGTCTTGTTTGGTTTATGTAAAAAATATTTTAACCACTGCTCCGTACACATTTCCACTATAAATTCTGAGTGGGATAGAAACTGTTTGTTTCAAAGAGAAATTCTTGGCAGAATGTGTGTTTCTCAAGAATAACAAAAGATTTTAGCACAAAGCTTTCCTGTACAAATAAGGTATTCCTCCTTTCTTAGTGAAGTCACCACAGGAAGGGCATTTCTCATGTCAACATAAATATTTCCGAATTTATTATGCCTCAACATTTTATGGATAACTAAAACATGAAATATTACCCTAGGTTGGCAGAAGTGGGGTGTGTAGCTAGAGAGATATACAGCATTATTTGAAAACATTGTCTGATTCTATAAACTGCTTTTCAAGGACAAAGCTTTTAAGATTAATATGTTAATACTGTTCAGTAGTTGTCTACATTAATGAGCACCAATTAATCCATCACAAAACTTGTAAAGAATACAATGTATCACTAAAGAAAATGTCCATAGCATGCATGCATAAAACACAGAATTTTGCATTCCAATTCTTTTCGTGTAGAGTACAATTGAAAAGCACATATAGGTAGCCCTTGCTTATTAACTGCCTCATTTAATAACCAAAGTTAAGACACTATTAAAAAACAGCTCTGTGATCAATTCTTGCATTTATGACAACAGCAATATCCCACAGTCACCTAATCACCATTTGTGTGCTTCACAATTGGCTTCTAACAGAGTTATGGGAGAATGTGGAAGTAAAATTGCAGGTTGCTGTCATGTGATGTCTCGCTTAATGACCAGAGTGATTTACTTAACAGCCAAATGGGAAATGAGGATGGAAATCTGTTGCAGTCATGATTTCCCACTTAATAACCTCACTGCTTACCAATAGAATTGCCAGTCTCAACTATGGTTGCTATGTGATGACTGCACCCACAATTTAAGCAGAGATTGTCTCTTACAATAAACATGAATTATATCTGTGCTATTTATTAGTAAATTGGAAGCTCCATGTGCCTAAGACTTGACAGAGGGTACTGTTCTAAGTGGAACAAAAAAACGTTTTGGGTATGAACTTTTCCTAGACACTGTTCTATATCCAATCCACACTCATAACTGCAAGAATATTATTAACACACTACTAGGATCATCCATGCTCTCCCTAACTGGCTCCAAGATGGGCTGCTTTACATTTTGTGGAGGACTTTTTCTCACAACACAACATCCATCTGGGAGCCAGTCTAACGCTGGTTCTGAGAGAAGCTAGTGACTAGAAGGCTTCAACTGCTGCAGAACAACTCTCTCCCATCCGGTCATGGGCTCTGTGCCTCCAAAGCCATTTTTTGTTTGCCTGTTCTCACTTGGCAACCAATGTTTTTCTTTTTGATGGGGTGAGGTGTGTGTGAGGGATTAGGAATAGCAATAACAGATGTGTGGAAAGTATGCTAATCCGATCCTGATCCTAAGACCAACTGCAAGCCAGGGCATCATTGCTGCCGCAGGCAATATCAGACAGAGGATCAAAGAGGGATTGGGAAGCTAATGTTTTTTCCCCCAACATCAACCATAAGATAATTCCAAAAGCTTATTGTTCTGAAGATTACACAAATATTAACTTTGTAATATTTCCCTTGCAAAAAAATGACCAAAGCATTTATATTTTGCATGATTCCCACCACCACCAAAAGACCTGATTTGGAAAAGCAAAAAAGTTATATCTACATTTGCACCACTGAGATTCAGAAGCAGCAGTAATTTATATTATTTTTCCTCTAATAATTTAAATCTTACCTGAAGAATGCCAATCACTTTTTTTGCTATGAAGGGGCCAAAGTGAGATGCCTTAGATAAACTGATTCCTTTGTAGTCTGCAAGAATTACAATTCCATTTACTTGAGTCTCCTCAGATTGAATGAGTTTTTCTAATGTCAAGTATATGGCACGAATGTTTTCAGTAATTGGGTAATTACTTGGTGTCCATTTGTCTATGATTAAAAAGACAGAGAAGGAAGTTAGAAGTTAAAAGAAAACCAAACTACATTACAAACCTTAACAATTATTATTAATCCTATAAAAATCTTTTTCTAAGTTCACATTATCTCTTACTTCAGAAAAAGCCTGTTGTTTTAGGAAACATAATTAAACAGTTATATCGGACAAACTTTTCATGGTTGGACTCCTAAGATCAAATTGAATTAATAAGAATTACCTATAAGAAAATGAATGCTGAGACTTACAGTCCTATACAAATAAACAAAGATTACACAAATAATCTTCAGAACAATAAGCTTTTAGAATTATCTTACTTAAACACTAGTAAACAAAATTATGTTAATTGGAAGGTATAGTAATATGTGCTGATATCTTTATTCAACAGGTGTGGGGAAAATAGGGAGGAGGGAATGGCACGTACAAAATAAAGACAGGTTATCAAATAAATAAACAATATAAAGCTGGGATATAAATCAAATAAATAAGCAAGCAAACAAAAGATTCATCCATCTTAAAAAGTTAATCATACCTGGGCGAATACAGACAACATGGCGTCCTTCATTATCTAAATGGGAAAGCACAGTGACAATGCCAGATTCCAAGACAGTCTTTACAGCAGATGGCTTCAGATTTGTAAAAACCTCAGGCCAACTTCTCCTACAGCAATGATAGTTCACGAGAAGCTGAAGTGCCCGATCATAATCAAATTTCCTTGCTCTAAGGAACCTAAGCAAGAAAGCGTCGTCTAGGCATGTCCCCAGATTAGGATAATCTTTGCACACCATGTCTCTGAGGGCTTGAACATCTCGAAGCCGCCACTCAGGTTTTTCCTGCAGCTCTTCGCGTGCTTTGGCAATAAGCTCAGCGGACAGGGTACACACATATGTTTTCTGAACTGGCAGGATCTCAATTCCTGACAGAGATCCCTCAGAGGGACTTCTAACGGTGCCATCGCTATCTCCTGACATTGGTTAGAGAAATATCTGGGGGGGAAAGTGTGACAAAATGCAGACAAAGAAAAATGACCAAACTGATCACCAACTTTTACAAATAAAGATTTGTAAATGTATAATTAGTACTTATACTACATAATAATAGTATACTATTATGCTAATGTGGATATGTTTAAATGTGTCAAATAGCAGTTAATTCTCATTTGCCAGTAATATTTTTTAACAGCAAACATAATTCTATACATTTATAGAAAAGAGTGGGATATACACTATGGTGGTCTCTCATGAATGAAGACACTGAGGCAGTCGTCTTGAAG